ATAGTCATCATTTCGGATACTACCATTTCCTAATTATTCGATGCTATCGAGGTCATATTATAAATTGTAATATCAACTCGTAATGGGGTACTCATTACCCTGCTTCCCTTTTGTATCAAAAGAATCTACTGCTCATCAAACTATCAAGGCTTGACAATGAGTGCATAGTTTGCGGCACCGAAATGCGTTCTTAGGCCAAGAAATTTTTGATGAGACAAGCTCAGGCAGCTGGTGACGTCAAACGAAGACCAAATTTCTCCTTGAACAGCGATGAGCTGCCACGGTCAATATGCAACACGGGATAAGTTGTTGAAAATCACTCGTGCAGTCACGTACTCAGCTATCCATATTCAATGGTCTGTTCTTCCTTCAACGCACCGCTATTTTCTCCCTAAGACCAAAGATGAATGCTCGGCCATTTATGTCCATGACCGAAAAACATCAAAATGGTAACAGTGCTCGACAGTGACGGGCGCAGCTAGAAAGTGAATATTGTGCAAGTGGATGCCGACTGTATAGTGATGACCGTGTATTAGCATCATTTCAGCAAGAAAATAGTTAAATTTAAATAATTTGGATATATTTCAGGAGAAGACTACATACAAACTTATTTATTTGCAAATATGAATTGATAATCAAAATTTAAAAACATTTATTGAACATTTTTTGTCCTTCGTATGTTATGACAGGAATTTCTTAACTAGGAAAGGACTAATTGGATGCAAATGCTGCGCAATTGTGCATATTCATGGCTTGTCGTCTCAATTAAATGCAAGCCTGATTTACTTTGAATACAATGAGGGGTGTGCCAAGTACTCCACGAAATAATATTCATTATTTATATTATTCTACATTGAAATTTATCAGTAGATTATGTTACATGTTTCATCGTTATCACTAAGAACATTTCATTAACTTTGAAAAGGTAATTATGCTTCATATATACTGTTTTATTTTATGTCTCAAATCTACCCATTTAATTAGAGAAATGATGACCTTACTAATGTCTGGGAGTGTGTATGCTGAAAGATCCTGTATGCTGAAGGTATGCTGAAGGATTCTGGGCACAAACTCTGGGTGTCATATTTTTGTAATAATATAGTTCTGTTCAATATGTTTTTTCGATAAATATTCCATAATAAATATATATTTATGGTTGTCGATTTTCTTTCTTAATACTGCGCAACGGGGAGCGTGGAAGAATGTTGATAGAAGTATTGAGGCGCACAAGTTATAAATCAGAGGTAAGAGGAGCTAAGGATATTGAGGGCCAAAAATCGAATGTAAGCACAATGGATAGCTAATGACATTGATGCGCACAAGTCGAAAAACTCGGCTCGTAACTGGAAACACAGCGCTAAAGCGAGCTATAAATATTGAGACGGGCAAGTCGAATGTCAGCGCTAAGGAGAGAAGGATATTGAGGCGCGTAAGTCGTTAGTCAGCGCTAAGGAGAGAAGAGCTAAGGAGAGAAGGATATTGAGGCGCGCAAGTCGTAAGTCAGCGCTAAGGAGAGAAGGATATTGAGGCGCGCAAGTCGTAAGTCAGCGCTAAGAAGAAAAGGATATTGAGGCGCGCAAGTCGTAAGTCAGCGCTATATAAGGAGAGAAGGATATTGAGGCGCGTAAGTCGTAAGTCAGCGCTAAGGAGAGGTACAGCAAAACTGGCGTCTGAGAGGTTAATCATCGGTGCTAAGGAGAGAAGGATATTGAGGCGCGCAAGTCGTAAGTCAGCGCTAAGGAGAGAAGGATATTGAGGCGCGCAAGTCGTAAGTCAGCGCTAAGAAACAGCAAAACTGGCGTCTGAGAGGTTAATCATCGGTGCTATGAGGCTGTCATGTGGCTCGTACCGACCTCTGAATGATGACTTTATGGAAATGTGACAACACTTTAAGCTTTACATTACGGCGTGATCGTATATCAGCTGCCTTCGCTCGCCACTAGCTCACGGACTTCGTTAATAAAACTTTTAAAGTGTCTGCCAAGACATGGATGAAGCGAGGTGTGCATCGACAGTTGGGTTCGTAATAGAATTTCGTAGCTTGTATATTGCATGGTTCACTAGTTAGGGAAATGATATTCATACGATGCGTTCCACCACTTAATAATCTGTAAGCAATCATTACGCAGCGTCATAAACGCGAATTTAAAGCCCGAGATTTGCATCTTTAGCACAAATGCGTAGCGTGCAAAGTTCGTTTACAATCATTTTAAATTTCCCAGCCGATTAGTACCAACGCTTTTACTTAACTGGTAAGATACTAATTTCGAGCAAACTCTAGGTGAGTTGGAGATGGATAACAAATCGTAAATACCGTTCAATAACTACGGGGAAGTGCTATTTCGAACATATTTTTCAAGATTTAATCAATTAATTTCGGTGATAACAATTCAAAAGATAAAGTACATGCCAAGCTCGGTAATCAGTTTGTTACAAATTCACTGGAGTGCAGGTGACGTGGGAGCTTGTCGGTTGCGCAGTGTTGTGCTGGACGCCTCATGTCTTGCACAAGATCTCTTATCCTGTCAAGAATATCTCGTGTTTGTGTTGGATTGGCTTTCATGCAGCAGACTTCATGAATATATCATAATAATTGAAATAAATTATTTTGGCATGCAGAATTCCCTGCTATTTTACTCACAAATGTTAAGCTATTTAAAATTGGGAAGCGCGGGTGATGTAATTTTTGAAAGCTGTGAAATAAAATTTCAGTTCGGAGTACAGTTGCATTGTTAGTATCGAAATTGTAAACGTTTATTAATATCTTATGAACTCGTACACTAAAGCTGATCTAGAATTACATGTCAATTATTCTGATTCTGGGAGTGAAACAAAAAGAAGAGTTTATTTTAACCGGCCCTGCACCAGGTAAGAGAAAACACTATTTGATCTCATAATATTTTTTTTCTATAAAAACGATCTGAAGGAATCTTGATTACTTACACTATCGCTGTCGAATGATATTAAAATTACCGAAAATTAACGAGTGCCTGCTTTTTAATCGTGCTGGCGAAATTTTCGCTCATGTTTGATCATTGACTCTTGGTCTGGCATTTGGGCGGCCAAACTATTTTTTTACAGAGCCATGTTGAAGACTTGCTTGCATTAGTCACGTGCCTTCAGCCTTGTTACTTGCTTAGCTTCCGGCATTAATCTTGAAAATTCCAGCTAAGAAACCATCCTTCCCGTGGCTTGCGTGCAGGTTTCATTGCAGGAATGATAACGTTTAGTTGCGTGGGTGCTGAGAAATGCCTGGCCAATCAGGGAGGCGATAGAAGGCAGCAACCTCAATTGCTCAGTGTCAGGCTCTGGAGGAAGGTAAGTCCCGTGCCGGGGTGGTCGAGCCTCAACAAACAAACTTTTCAAGTCACATTTGTAATCGCATAACTTTCAAAACAATTATTTAAAATCTTCATTTCATTGATAACGAACATATTTTATTTAATTAATGATACACAATGTCTATTGGTGCTAAACCGATAATGCTACGTTTTAAAATATAACTTACTTATTAATTCAAATAAGAAAATTACTCGTTCTTAATTCTTAATGAAAGGTTATTCGTTCTTTTTGAACTCAACAAACTCTGCGTTCTCACTATAGTAGTTTTAGATATACACTAAAGATGCAGGTGCAATTACTATAATGAAATTTAATTTTTGCCCTAAATTCGGCACTATCTGTCTATCTATGATCTCACATTCAATGACCCTAATAAATACATGAAATACTTGGACTATGAAAGTTTCAACAGCATAAAATCTTTGCTGGGCGTTGGGAAATGGGAGTTGTAGATCGTATTTACGTTGACATCCAAACTACATCGTAATGCGCCGCAATAAGCACTCCGATGCCACTGTTTAACTAAGCGAAACTGATGATCGCAACAGCATCTGATCCAAAGCGGCATTAAGCATGAGATTTATCTCGCCAAGTGAGCGGTTTTGGAACTAAACCAAATACATCATCTTTTTTCTAGCTCCCAAGATGGTTGCTGGGCTTTGTATGAAGAAAGACGCTCAGTCGCATGGCCTAAAACAGTTAACAAGACGTATTATCCTCACAAAGTGTCGTGCTGTCGGCTACCGAGCCTAACGCGACTGTGTTTAATTAACCAATGTGTCCACTGAGTTAAAACGCAATCGTCGAAAATAAAATCTGTGGTCTTGCCAGTGGGTTTGAACGTCAGCGTGACGCATAACTTGTCTCGCTTAAGAAAGATCACATATTAGGTGTGAAAGACATAGTTTAGATTAAAATCTCAGATCTTCCACAGACGAGGTTACATATTTTGCACAAGAATTCAAAATTATTCATCCATAAAAATAAAAAAAAATAAAAAACGAGACAAGAAGTCTCCTGACTTTTGATTACTGGTGAATTCCTGAGTTTCTTGACTTCAAGGAACTGGAGGAACGTGGCTCACATTATAGCTTCTGCAGTTTATCCTGCAGCTCTCATATAGCTACAACATAAAAGTCGTACCTACTTCTAATTCTCACCCTGTACCTTGCCCATATTTCTTCAGTGCAGATGTCTTCAAGCTGCAGAAACCCCACTATTTACCTCATAATATTACCCCGATAATATTTTACCTCATTAAGTTATGCTGCATCTCACCCTTATTCCATCAGTGCAGCTGTCTTAAAGCTGTAAAAACCACACTATCTATGTATGAATTTTACCCAAGTTATGCTGCATTTCGCCCGTATTCCTTCAGTGCAGGTGTCTACAAGTTGTTGTTACCCCAGCACTTATACATAAGACTTCTCACAATAGTTAATACTGCACCTCGTCCATATATCTTCAGTGCAGCTGTCGGAGCTACTGCCACGCTTCTCCCCCATACCTTATGCTGCTATTTACTATATTTCTGCTTCTGCTGCGGCCGCAGCTCCGGATAGTCCGAGAGATCGCTGCCCGATAGCAATTACTGAATCCCAGCCAAACGTCGCGTGAGGAGCGACTGACTGTGACCGCGACACAGTCCCCACACTGTCATGATCCCTGCCATCAGTCCCCACACTGTCATGATCCCTGCCATCAGTCCCCACACTGTCATGATGCCTGCCATCAGTCCCCACACTGTCATGATCCCTTCCATCAGTCCCCTCACTGTCATGATACCTGCCATCAGTCCCCACACTGTCATGATCCCTGCAATCAGTCCCCACACTGTCATGATCCCTTCCATCAGTCCCCTCACTGTCATGATCCCTTCCATCAGTCCCCTCACTGTCATGATCCCTGCCATCAGTCCCCACACTGTCATGATCCCTGCAATCAGTCCCCACACTGTCATGATCCCTTCCATCAGTCCCCACACTGTCATGACTATGATGCATGCATTAGTACGCCCAACAATGATCGTGACCCCAGTTATCGTTTTCTGACCGTTATTGTCCCTATCATCATTACCAACAGTGCTAGGTGCGGTATACATCCAATCACACACTATCATTCCTTTTTTTAATCTTGAGAACCAGAGGGCTCTATCTTACAACAAATACTTCCATACAAAAGAGCTCTATCTTACAACAAATACTTCCATACAAGCTTTAATATTCTGTATTATTGTGAAAATCTACTAAAATGCGAATATTTTCAATTAAATTTAATGAAAGTATCGCAATGCATTTTTTAAGAGCAGGTTACATTTGTTTCAACCACTTAGGCTTTTTTAAGAGGATATATTTTGAAATTTGAAATTTTTCAGTAAATTCACATTTTTGCCGCTTATCATTCACTTTCATGATATAAATCATGATGGTGATACTCAAAAAGGTACTAATACGTTCAAACATGTACATCCTCTATCGATTATCAAACGGAAGAAAATCAATTGATAACACTCCGCAATCAAATTGCATTCACCATGAAAAGCAAAAGTTCTTTCCAGTCACACCTTTTTCTGTAATATTAAAAAAAAAACTTGATAAGCATACATTAAAACTCAAAACAATTTAACCTGATAGTTCCCAGCAAGTCTTAACAAAATGTTAAGGCATGCTAGGGCAAAATCTCTGATGCAGAGATACATCAGAAGCTCTCGGGCCTCTCATCGATCATCCTGCGCCCCAGTTAGGCTCATTTGCGTGTTTATTTTGGCTGCTGATGTTATCTGATAAAGGTTTAACATCACAATGTTTAACGTGGATTAATGGGCGACATTCATCGCCCAGTGTTTCAAAGGCCCAGCGACGAAAGCTTCTGGTTCTCGAGATCGAGGAAGTCGCGTTGACGATCTTGAGAATAATTAAAAGTGAAGACGAGACGAAAAAGTCTCATCAATTCCGAGAAACAGAGATGGACTTATAAATATCTGAGGATGGAGGTATTTGAACACGTATTCCATTTATTGTTATATCATTGACTGAATGGGAATAAATTTTCTATAAAGTAAAGAATAGCGTTATTACAAAGTAATATGTGAAGTTTAATTTCATACGTACACGCACAGTCAGATCCTCTTTCATTCTTTGAAGCAATACAATTTTAGTTTTTCATTTACCTGCAAACGAATGTAGTAACAAATTTGGTTTATAATAATAAATAGAGCAACAAATTTGGTTTATAATCAGAAAATGAACACCCAAGTCACTGAAGTTTTCGGACACGTCGATAAGATTTATCTCGTACGTAAAAATGGATGAACTTATTGAAGCTTCCTCCTCTAATCAATAGCCACATGATATATGAGGAAGACTAAATTTGTAATAACTTGCGGCCAGTTACCGCAAGCCTTGAGTGTTTTAAATTACAGAAAACTGATACTTTTAATTCAAGTCTTGCCTATTGAAGCGCCGGTGGTCCAATGCGTCTCCCGCTGATCTGCCGGCCGGCCGTAGGAATAAGCCTGCTGCGTTCACACAAGCTCCTCTACTGACATATTTTCAACACTGAAGTAATTAATACGTATTGTATTTCACATATTTTAACTCTGAACTTTTCAATGTAAAAAATATTAAAAATCACCGCCAATTTAGTGTTATTTGTCTTGTATATTTGTGTGAGAAGTATTTTCCATGTCAAATATTAAGTAAGACATAGTTGTTCTGTGAACGCAGTTCAGTCAAGACTGACCAGCCCCTTTCCGAATGGAAGAGGCACCTGTTCCATGGAGGAGCTGATGTATGGAGCGTTGGTAGCTTACACACCTGTCACACTTGCGAATACTACAGAATAGCAAACTTATTCTTTACTTATGGCCTTCTTGTTTCGTAAGCCTTTATAAGTTGCTGCATATCTTTATTTATAATTGAAAAGAAGTTCTAGGGTGATGGTTTTCTAAAAGTTCATTTTACCATTCATTTAGAAAATATATTAATTTTAATTTTATAAATTTTGCAATCGTATCCATTGAATCACAAATATAAATGCTTCTTTACTGGCTCAGTAATTCGTTTAGTTTCAATTGAAGATGCCCTTACGCCAAGCCCCTTACGTTTTGAAATCGATGAGTAGAATTTGTTTCTATTGGTTACAGGCGATAGGGTCAAATTTAGCTCAGGCTGTCAAGATCTCCGTAGGAGGTGCTATTTACGAGCCACGCTTACCTTCTAGTCGATTCTGGGGATGTTTTCCCACCTCTGGCTAGCTCCCCTGGACGGTATCACCTCGAGTATCTAGCACTTTATACACACCTTACGACGCTGCGAGGCGGCAACCACCCGCCACGAGCGCAACGCTCATTCGTTAACAACTTGCAGGAACTCTCCTCGGAGATGCTGTCGACATCGTAATGTCCGTAATGATTGCCTCTTAAGCTCGCTGATATTCGCTAACTGTTCGAAACGTGATAAACATCTCAGCTCTGCCTCAAGAGCAGCTTCAAAAGTGAGGCACTCGACTGCCTCGGGAACCTATCGCAAGGATCGGTAGCTAAGAGTCATTGAAGTCTCCTTAATTTTATGCCAGCTCGAGAAGTCCTCGCAATATATGGTCCGGCGAATTATCAGAGCTCTTCAACTTAGCTTTGCTCGTATTTATGGATTGTCACCTGCTTCTTAAGGCCCTAATCTTTCCGCCAATTAGACTCCTCTTAAGCAACAGTATTTATTCGCATGATATTCCTAAGAAAGCATCTGAAACGTACCGGAGAATGAGGACCATTCACAAAATCTATCGCCAAGCAAGCTATGGCCAATAAGCGTCGACCTAAGCTACGTCGGTAGGATATTTTCCATTGCCAGCAAATTACACCAATTTGCAACTCTCAACAGTCTGATTAAAATTTGGAAGGATTTTTCTGCATGCTCCGTTATGAGACTCTTTAAAGTCGAAATTTATTCGACTATTCGGTTGCAATCACACGCATGTTAGTCTTCACAAATGAGACACCCTGAGAATGTTTGGACATCCCTGACATGTCCTCTTTTGTGTCCATTATAAATAGGCGGGGGAGCCTGAGTGTGTTGATATAAAAGTGTCTTATACAGGGTACAAACTTTGGAAAACTTTGGATTTCTGCTTCGCTTGGCCAATAACTTAGAGTTATTAGTGGTATAATTTCATGATATTATTTAATATTTCTTAATGGCTGCAAGGTTGGTACTTTATGCAAATGAACAATTGAGAAACCCCGAAACAACCAGAAATCCCTGAAACATAATTTCATGAACATAATGAATCGCAGTAATATCTGTTTTGAGTTAAAAATTAATAATTATGTGCTTGAGGGTATTTCTTTTCAAATCGAGACTTGTGTAATTAATATTAGTTTAACCCGCCGCTTTTCAGAAAAATATAATCACTGTGATTTGAAAATACAAAATTACAAAACTTGTAATTCCGTAACTCATTATCATGGATTCCGTCATACAGATCCGGTTAGCAATTCTTAAATTAAAGTAACTTTTCAAAGTGCAAGATTTCAGACAAAAAACTTTGTGTAACATATTAAAAGTTAAACATAAATAATTTATCTTAATGTAAAATTTTCATAATTCCGATTTATGCTTAGACACTCAATATTATTTGTGCGAAGAATGAAAAAATAAACTTATGATGAGACAAGTATTTTATCTTCTGCTCTTTTCACTCTCTTCGGCTAGATTTATAGTCCTTATTAAATATAAGAGCTAAATAAAGCTGACATAAGCTGGCATTGTTCACGTCATGTTAAATGACTGTTGCCAATCCTTGTTCACATTAGAGACTCGATGCTGCGCCAATAAGGAAGAGTAAAGTGTGGGCTCTATGGTGCTGTTCTTTACGGCCAGCGCTAACATGTGTTCCAGACAGTAGACTCATAGTGCTCAGTTGTGTAGATTGATTTGGCACATTTGAGTGATGTTCGCACACAGAATATTATATCTAGGACAATGTAAAACGTTACTAATTTCAATGTCATTTGTATTTCACCCGTTCAATCAAGGTCTTCTGTTTAGAGAAGTTAATAATCAACAATCGAAATAATAATAATTATATTTCGTTTTTCTTGGTATAACTCCATTCATATGATTTGATCGGAGAAAATTTTCATATTCACGCCAGAAATATCCTTTGAGTCCTTCTCACTGGCTTTCAGTTTAAGGGACTTCCTGCTATAACCGTGATTGACGATTAACGGAAAACCTGACGAGCGAAAGCATAGTTTCTCCTAATAATAAGTCTGCAAGAGGTCGTTCGAGTCGACCCGCACATTCTCCGGGCACCTCGTATTCAAGCTACCTCAGAACCATTTCGTCATCATAACGGTTCCAATTTGCGAAACACCGTGTGAATTTTCCCCCTTCAACCCCTCCACCATCAGGAGGGTTTCACCACCGTCTCCCACGACGTCTCCTGCTACTCAAAAACTCTTGTTCGTCAACGCTAGGCGGTGGACTCACCTCATTCCATCTTTGAAGGGACAGCTTTGCTGGTGTTGCTGATGTCAATTCTCTCTGTGAGGCCTTGTTTCACCATTGTTTGACTAGGTAAATAAACGATTTCTACTATTGATTTGAACAACAGAGCGGCCTCAAAAGTAATTCGACGAACAAATAATTTATAAATTATTCAAATTTCAGATTGTTTATCGCTATACTAACAAATTCTGCGTCCCTTAGCTATTATTCTACCCTAAGCTAAAAGCCTAAATTGCACCAAAAGTCAAGGTCGCAAGTCAATTTTCAATTCGCTAAGTATGAATACTTTGGTGCAATCGGTTCCAATGAAATGGTTAAGAATTGGGCGATTGTATTCATTGTACCTATTTTAGGATTTAAAAATCCGGTTTCAGCAAGATTTTATAGCTGACATTAACAACCTTTTTCAATGGAATGTTTATCATTATTTTTAGCTGTGATAAGGCAAGCTGATATTTTACGTGTTTTCGATGATCCGTTAAATGCATAACAAATACATGTGAAGATATTTCTTAATCCTATGGCACACGATTTGAACTAAT